TTTAGTTGAGTTGTTCATAAATAAGCTTAAAACTAAATTTAATAATCTTTTTTTATAGAATGATTTTAAATACAAAAAGAATTCACAACTCCTTTTGAAGAAATTTCCCCGCAAGAGCTAAACAAATGCCTTCAAAAGTTTTAGTTGCCGGCAAGAAAAAGCGACGGCCGCGGCCGCCCGGTCATTACGCGCCAAAATTGTAATCGTTGGCAACAGTATTTGAGTTAAAAATAGTCGTTTTTGTGCTCAATTATCTCACTGTTTTAGTATATACTAAAACAATTATTCACCTCAGTGTTGGTGGCTAGTCGTGGATATTTACCTCACTGCTTCGCAGTTCGGTAAATATCCAGGACTAGCCACCTCCACTTCGGTGAATAATTGTTATATACGCCAGTGACTTGCATACCTCACTAAGACCTTAATGTGCCATTATTTCAGAAATTGACCAGGCTCACCGGTTCTCACAGTGTTGTCTACTAGCTTCTATACTTTCCATTTTACCAAAGACAACAGGTACGTTAGTCGTGATCAATTTCTCCCAAGATACAATTTTTCTCACCATAAACATTTTGATGTTTCGTTATTGTCTCCTATTGTACACAGTTATAGTCTAGGTTAATTGAACTTTGTGATATGATTATTTAGCTCTTTAGACCGAGTCATATTGTTCATCTAGAGTAGCTTTTGTTTGTGGTTTAGTTAAAATCACCGTTTTGCCAGGCTGAGCCTGTGGAAAGCAAACTAATCAAATTGCCTGTGTACCAACATTACTTTTTTTACCAATTTTATTACAGAGGATGTATTTCAATATTGGGTTATGCCTACTAATTATCCTGAGGTAATTACTGGGAAAGTACAGTATTATTTTTGACTCAGACATTATTATAGTATGTCAAGGTAGTAGTAAATTAGTCTGTTAATTTAACGCTCATAGTCAATAAGAGACACATGCATTGTTGTTCCATCTTTTGTGACCATTGAAATGAAACCTTTCTTGCAGCTCTTTGCCGATGGTACTTTTCTTCCTGAATTCCGATGTCAAGCAGTCTTTCACACAACATTAGCTAAGAAACCTGTTGGGCTCTATTTTTTAAAAATCTATCTCCAACAAAACTAGAGTTGAAAAAGGCAAAGAAATCATCATTACACATCTTTTTTTTTTGTTTTGTTGTTTGTTTTGTTTTGGGGGGGGGGGTTATTCAAAAAAATGTGAAGATTCGTGGTAGTGCCTGCGTTTCCCGGCCACGTAGTTCTGCAAAGGTTTTTTTTCCCTCTCTCTCTACTGTTTTTATCTTTTGGGTTATATCGTTTACAATGTAATGCTTGGTAATTTTTAAGGCTCGGAAATTCGGCATGGGATTTATGGGGGGTTAATTTTTGGTCCAGGGATTTTTCTGGGCATTATTGGAAGTCCTAGTTTTTTGGGGGGGTTTTGATTTTTGCCCCCATTCAATCATCCCTGTCACGTGGAATCCGGAGTAACCCCCCTGGGATGCAACTGTGATTGATACAATGTGTGCAATAAAAATGGGTACAATATATATTCCCATACATCAAGCACCTACCGCAGTAGTTAATGACACCGCTGACTTGTTAATTGAACACCGAAAACTCACCTCCTTCGACGCCCGTGGAAAATTGTCTCCTCACAGCTTCTGTTTTGAATCGACCAGTTGATGTCTGAGCATCTGCTGTGTACGTCGTTCAGTAGAAAGACAATAAATACTTTGGAAAAACAAGTAATGACGGAATAAAACGGTAAGTTTCTTCACAAATTGAGATATAAATTTTCTTGTGGATATCGTTTGGGCAGCGTGAAAGAAAAGCTTTGTCGATCCGGTGAAACTAGACTAATTGAAATATTATAAAATGTACTTTATAATACAAAAGTTTATGAAGATTTGAAAAAATTGGATTTGTAACTTTCGATGACACAGTTAAAAAATTTATTTCACTTTAAAGCATGGCTGATCGACTATCTCACTAGAGAGGCAGACATTGAATAGACCAGTTTCATACTTGGCTGCGAGACTTGGGGGAATAAAACAAAAGAAATCATCTTGAGGCTCAGCAATTAATAATACATTTCTTTTGCTTTATTCCCCCAAGCCTCGGAGCTAAGTATGAATTTTAATAGGCCGTTAACAAAACCTGGATTTGTTTGCAGATCGGATCGGACTCCGGATCGGATCGGACTGGCAATTCGCCTTAAATTCAAAGTTACATTGATTGCTTGCTGGTTATTGTACGACTGTGATGGACTCGGCTAAAGCAGATAGGTGTGAGAAGACTTCTTGTTAATGAAAATAATGTAAGAGAGGTCATTTGCTTATTGACAACAAGTCGTCGCCACTGTACCTTGCTTATTCCCGCGATTTTCTTAATCGTCTCCTCTGAAAAGAAGCATTTAATTTAGGCTCAGTGAAAAACAAGACCAATTCAGAATAGAGTAGAGATGGAAAGAAACACAAAATCACTGCAATGAGAGATACTTACATCTCTGTCAGCCATCTTCGATTCGGGCGATGTCACGTTACCAAGCCCCTTTTTGGAATTGTGAGTGCATGAAGTTATGCAACAGAAAATTTCCCAGTGTAGTTCAGTTGAACATAATGCTTTGCGATGGTTTTCAAGCTGATGGTGAATGTTAAAGCTGGTGATGCATGAGAAACGATTTTTTTATTAGTGACACAGGTGGCTTGGAAGAAAAAATCCGAGTCGAACCAGTTACTAGTTCAAACGTGTCATAGGTTACACTCCTGTTGTGAGAACTCGGATTTCTTATTTTGAGCCATCTGTGTCATTATTAAAAACAGCTTTTCTCAAAATAATTATCCTGCACCAAAAGTGAAAATACCAGTCCGATCTGATCTGATCCAATCCAATTTGATCCGATCGGATCCGGAGTTCGATCCGATCCACAGTCAAGCGATCCACAGCCAAGCGATCCAATCCGGGTTTTGTTGACGGCCATTTTAATATACCAAAAATGGTCTATAGAAAACGGCTAAACGTCAAACTGTAGACTACATGTATAAAGCATTTTTATAACATAGCGCGCGTGCTTGCCCTATATAAGTCCTATTGAGCCGCTATGAACAAAATCTTTATTTACGCACGCCCGTGCGTAAATAAGATGACGTGAGCATTTTTTTTTACCTGGCTGCAAAGTTGTCGTCTTTTAAGCTGCAGTGTACTTTTCCTTCTCTTTAAAATATGGAAGAAACCAGCGAAGAACTGCCCAATTTTTCTATCGGCATTGACCTTTTAGGTCCTGATCCAACAAGCAGCAAAAATAAAGCCGAATTTAAAAAAACTCGCAAGTTGCGCGTTTCGCAAATTTGTCTAAGACCAGCTGCAGCAAATTTTGGCCGAAAGACATTCACTGGGAACAGAACAGACACCAACTGGTCATCAACAGCATTTAAAGGCAAAATTTCCGTTTTTATTGTTGTTTTTAAATTTGTTATGCACTTTGTTATCTCCGGACAATCCGACTGAAGCAGGAAAATTTCTATCGCAATAACAACACAAATTACACAAGAAGACATAAATTTATTACTCACAAAAACAACTGCTGCCAGGTCTTCTCAGGAAGCCGTAATGACCAGCCAATGTTTGTAAATGAATATAAGTTTAAAGAAGGATGGCAATCGTCTTCGCTAAAAACATGTTTTCTGGATTTCGCCGAGCAAAACGTAAACATCTTTTCAGCAAATCCAAACCATACTCCACGACTTCTTACGAACATGTTAGTTTTAACTTTAGGTGAACTTTAAGACCCTTTTACCTTTGTTTCTGCTTAGTTTCCATTGATCGTTAACGAATAAAGAAGCAAATTCTCTTTCTCACTTTTACAGAAAGAATATTTTCTAGACGATTGTGGCGTGTTCGTAATCAGCCAATAGAACCGTTTGTTATTGTGTCGCGCGTTACGAGAATTTTGCAGTTAATCAAAAAGCAAGAATTTTTGTGAGCTATGTTATAAAAGAATTTGCTCATGCTTTTAGCTGTGCGTATATCGAGTTATGGATGCACTTGGGAAGTTTGGAGAGCACTCAAAAAGCTAGAGTTGCACTCGGCTATCGCCTCGTGCAACTCTTACGCACGTTTCGTGCTCTCCAAACTTCCCGCGTGCATCCATAACTCGATATACGCACGCTAAGCATGAACAAATTCTTAAATTGAAATTTGATCAAATTCAACAAGCAAAAACAGAAAGTGAAAGGTTAGTGTTTTCTGTCCTTTTGTTTGTTATTTTAAGCACTTCCACTCGTACTGGACAAATAATACAAAATTTTCTCACTTTACTTTCAAATTTCTGAACTGCTGCTATATTTATAATAACATGGATATGAGTGAAGGGGCATTCCCCAAGAACACTACTTTCAGTTTCTGCTTTATCTTAGTACAGCTAGCAAACATTAACATTTCATCAAGTCACTGCATATAGCAGTCCTGATGATCATTAAGAAGTGCAGAACAAGTGTGATTCTGTGCTTTTTTGTGGTAAGGTATATTTTTGGTCAGTTTTTACAAGAAATTTGATTTGCTTCAACTGGGCCAATTTATGTATTCTTGCAAAAATTTATTCTTACCTCCAAGGTTCAATAACAATTTCCTCCAAAGCAATCAACTCCACTCTTATAATACAAGAAATTCCCTGGCCAACCATCTACATATTGTCGAACTAACACTAAGAAGTTCTCGCCTTCTTTTCAAGGAACTAAGTTTTTTTAATTGACTTGATAACAAAGTCATCAACTCTCAATCCCTTTTCTCCTTTAGAAAATGGTGAAGATTAAATTATTAAGTTAATAATAATCTCCTCACCACTTCTTTTTTCTACTTTCCCTATATTATTTGTAATTTATATTATTGTGTGCAAATAAAATAGAATAAATGAATTTTATAAACAAATAGACACACTAAATTGTCCTTGTCGGCTTTTCTTTTTCAACTGAGCCCCATTGCCCTGCTCCCCTCCCCAGTTTCCCCTTGAATGATATGGGATTATCCACAGAAACTTAAGACCAGAATGATCTATTTATTTTATCTCTCTGCAGCTTTGTTATCATGCTTCAAGCAAAACAGAATGGCTGTGATAGAGCTTTGCTGACACAACAACTGCGGCGCTACTCTACAGACCATGTGAAAATAGCCGTAGAAGACACAGAGCAAGCCAAACGTCTAGTAGACTACTACATCAAAAAGCAAATCTTGCCACGCATCTGCAGGGAATCATCCCTACCAATTAGCAAGCAAGAATACACAGGAAGCTTGTATGAGAAGCTTAAGACTGAAGCAGCTGATGAAGTTGATGTCATGGTTATCCTACAGACAACAAAACAGGAAGTAACCCAAGAAGATGCTGGTGTCCCTGGGTTTGTGCTTCTCAAAGCATCACAAGATTCCCAGCTGCGGAAGTATGCTAATGCAGCAGGATACATTCTGCCTGAGAAGCTACGAGACAGCCGTTTTTTTTTGGCCTTGTTCGAAAAGCTGTAAATCAACTCCAAGAAAAGGATCCTGCATTACCTGTAAAGCTTGAAGTGCGAGCCCATGGTCCGGCAGTGCAGCTTGACATCACAGACAAGGAAACAGAAAAAAAATTGTCAGCTGATGTGGTTCCATCTTTTCAGCTTAGCGCTACAGAATACTTTGTTGCAAAATCATACACTGGGAAAATATCCCCAGGATGTGACCCAAAACTTCTCTGGAGGCAGTCGTTTTCACTGAGGGAGAAAGCAAGATTACAGGATATGGACAAAGAAGATCATGGATGCAGGCATGAACTTCTCAGGATCATTAAAACCCTCATCCGTGCTGAGACGACCTTTGCTAAACTATCCAGCTACCATCTGAAGACAGTTTTCTTACACTACAACTTCAATCCAAAATTAAAGTGGGATGCAGATATGCTAGGAGAGAGATTTCTTGAGTACATGGAAATGTTGTACACAGCCCTTTCAAAAAAGACCCTTGACCACTTTTGGGTAGAAGGAGCGAACTTGCTGGATAATATACAGGATAAAACATTAGAAAACATGGCTGATCGATTACGCAAGATTTTGGACAATGAAAAGGATAGAAGTAAAGTCCTTAAATGTGAAAGTAAGGCAGATTAATTTTTATTAACTGCTTTTGGCAACTTGGAATTGGAGTAAACTAACAATAATATTATTATAACTATTAAGTCCCAATAGTGACCAACATTGATTTTCTCCTAACAATATCTACACATAATCAAGAGAGAAGATTATGAGACAAAATTAATAAAATTATCACCAGAGGAAAAATGTTTTGATCTTTTATCAAATTCTCTCCAATGATTCTTTAAGGAACTGTATGGAGATCAGTCCGGAGAATTTCGACATGGATAATTATTTTATCTTGAGGGGTTAATATGGCTTTAAAGAGATGATCAGGATCATTACATGTCTATCAATTCCCTCTTGATTAAAATTGTTTGACAAAGTATTTGATAAAAAGGGCGAAGAGATAACCAAAGAGGTTCTCAGTCACAATTTGATAGGTAGAGAGTTGTTAGAGTCCTTACATACCCTTTCAACAACACAAGCATTACCTAATCTGAAGCCAGATTTAAGGGTTATCAGTATGTGCATGTAATTAATCGAAGTGTGAATTTCCATTTGCTTTCAGTGCAGCTAGACAATAATGGAAGAAAGGCAAAAGAAAACTGTCCTGCAATCACATCTGGACAGCAAAAACAAATTCTGCCAAGCACATGTCAAACTTCTACTGATCTATTGCAGCTTCTGCGAAAATTCCTCAACAAACTGGGAGCCATTCTAAGTGATGAAATCAAGTGGTCAAAAGAAGTGATTGAAGAGTATATGAAAAATGGGGTACTCAAATACTGCCAGGATAACTCTCCTATGATAATAAGCAAGTTTGATTATGGAGGAAATTTGTATGAGAATCTAAAAATCAATGGTCCTAATCAGGAAGATGTTGTAATTCATGTCGTCTTGAAGGCAAAGAAAGGTTTTGTCACTATTAATGTGGAGAACCCTGGTTATGCAACCATCAAAGCAGTGGAAGGTTCCCCATACAAGGAGTATTCACGTGAAGATGGCCTCTTGATGCCAAAGAAATTCAAGTCGTGGCTATTTAAATTGGTCAATTCTGCTGTTCAAGAATTGAGCTCTAAAGAAGCTGCATCCATGTATTTGAAGGCTTCTAGTTGCAGCACCGGTGTCAAAGTCATCATCAGTCAATCCAAGACACAGACACTGGAAGTAAAGCTTGTACCGACATTTCCACTCAGCAGCGATGAATACTTTGTTCCACCATCACAACAAGGCAATCTCCCAGGTACTGAAGTTGAACATAGTCTTGACTTTTTTTTATGTAACCATGTTGCTGATTGGTAGTATAGAGGCTGTTCTAGGCTCCAAGATAGTAGTCCAGTGAAGTAAAGAGCGACGCGAAAATCGTGTGGGGGCTGGGGGCCACCCCCTTCCCAGGACATGGGCTGTCTTATTTTCGCAATGTCCCTACTATTTGAGAGCTTGCCACAGGAAAGTTGGCTGTTGAACATAGAACACAAATGTCACACTTTAAGTTCATACAAAGTAGTGATGGAGGCTCAAGAAGGTACTGACCAATCACAGCGCAGCAGAAATTGTCTCGACCAATCAGCATCGAGTATTTACCCCATGTGACCATGATGACGTCAAAGCTCCCAAATATGGGCATAAAAGTCACGTGACCCCACCCAAGAGATAGAGCCGCATACTTGGCATAGTTTTGAAGGACCGCGTAGAACCTGGGTACGAAGGGGACGCTCAAAATAAGCCCCAATCCCCTCGCATTCCCCGGAAGTCCATAAAAAACACACATTCTATGGAGAACCAAATCACTGCCTTGGTTTTAATGGACGTATCACGTAAACCCTAAGTTACATCCGGGACGTATGTGAGGTCCTAGTGACGTCACGCCCATGGTTTTTACATAAAATACACATTACGAAGAAAGGGTGTTTGCTTCCTGGCTGAAGGAGTCATGAGCAATGGATTAGGCCATGGAAGATAATGGCGGAATCCTATCAAGGACCAAGGTTTTGATAAAGGTCGACGTAAATCGAAATGGGTGGCTGAAACGAAAAGAGGGGGTGATTAAAGCCAAGAAGCAAACTGAATCAAAAACACTCGACCATTGGCACGCACGAGGCGGTGTCTTACTGTCCAAAGATTGACTGGAAAAACAAAAAAAAAAAAAGACTTGTTTACAATGTGGGACGTGTGTGACGCCCTCGTGGTGTCACGCCCGGAAAAGATTGTACACAAAACAATTCGATTAAAATCCAATCTTGATTAAAATTAAAATGTTGAAAGATCCAAAGTGTTTCTGGGAAAAAAATTAACGTTTTAGTTTGAACAAATGGAGTAAGCTGGCCTGTCCTTGATAATTAATGATACAAAGTTTGTGAGGGATGATGGTTTTGAAAATCAAGACATCTTGTAAGACCCAAAAAGAATCTAATTAAAAAAAAAAATAATCATGAACATCCAGCAGGGGTGGCGCCACCATGCAGACCTCCCCCTGCCGGGTGTTCAAAATTCCCAGTCCATGCTGTCCATCATCGCACAGCCCCGACAAGGTTCATGGAGTTCAGACACGTGCCGTAAATAGATCCAGCACCGTTTACATACAAAATATAATTTCCCCGTCAAATTTTGGAGGGACCTGGAATGATGGTCTATCACCTCGGCAATGGCTGAAAAAGGAAAGGGAGATAAATGGCTCGTATGACAAAACGAGAATCTGAAAAATAAAAAAAACATGTTTTAAGGATGGGGTGGGTAGCCCATGCCTTGCAACATCTCGCACCAATAACAGGGCACGTGTAAGTCGCCGGCAAAACGAAAATTCAAATAACAACGACAACAGAGTAATTTAATGGGTCTCGGAAATGGAAGATGAATCCCCGATCCAGTGTACCACTGCACGATGCTACCGAGGAAACACCATGCAGCGGAAGTACCATGAACCCGGTGGGTACTGAGAATGGTAAGCGAATCTACGAAAAAAATTAATAATATTGGTCTAAGCCATGAGTAAAAAAGCAATGCGGTCTCGGATCCAGCCTCTGTACCCATAGATTTCAATGTCGGTAATCACATCTAAAAAATTAATAATAATGGGCTATTTATGATTACAAAATTGCACAAAATGACGAACACTATGAATATGGTATCGTTGTTGCACGGCAAGGATCCACCCCCATTCCTCCATCGTAGAAATTACATCTGAAACGTTTCATGAAGACTAATTACACATCGAACCGTACTATAATGACATCGCAATTGCACGGGTCTAATCCATCCTCCATAGTGTTTTAACGTATAATGAAAGCCTACAAAGAGGTGGAAAGTCGAATCAAGACGGGAATACTGGTACGAAAAAAACCGGCTTGCAAAGGGCGGATCCATTGCGTATGATGACGCAACAAACAATGCGTGGCTGTAAAAAAATTAACTGAAAATTAATCCTCTAAAAACCCTAAGGCAGCTAAATCCGGGTCATCCACGGGACCCTGACGCCGGAGAAACGAATTAATTCTAAACGTCATTCTTAAGGGCCAATCATCCCAATCCCGATGGTTGGGGTCCCCACTCTGCACAAACTCCACAATATCATCTTCAGTGAGGGACCCCTCCCGGTTGCCTGCAATCACATCGTCTAAGGTCATTCCCTCCATCATTCTCTCGCAATGATTACACACGCCGCCAGGGGTGGGATGGGCGACCCATTGATAGATATGACAGACAGGCTGATTCTCCACATACTCCCAAGAATCTAATAAAAAAATAAAAATCAACACGAACAGGCTGGGACCCAGAACCGCGCGGCCCAATTGAGTCGAGCTCGTCGAGGGCAAAGGCACAGGTGGACAGGCCACAACACGTCTCGTAGAAACGCAAACCCCTTGAACACGTCTAGGAATCAAAAAAGGGACATGAGGGAAAAAAGGGACCCACACACCCGAAAAAAAGGAAAGCCATGACACTTACCAGCCATGCGGCGGCGATGGACCTCATGGTCGAGTTTTCGGGCAACAGGGTGGTCCCAGGGCAGTGTCTTGGCCCAATCTCTCAGCTCTTCATGAGTGCAGCGACGGAAAAAGGCGCGCAGACAGTCACTTTTCAGAGGCGTGTGCCACAACATCTTCAGGGCTTCGAATAACATGGCGATTGGCATCGAGTATAATACCAACGACGACAACGAACTCACCATCTTGATCAGTCACACTGAACAAACTGGAATGAACCCACACTAAGCGCGCAACGTGATTTAGAGACTCTTTCAGAGAACGTGATTGGTGGAGAGCCATCACGTGGGGTGACTAAAAACGAGAGGAGACTCTAGGGGGACCCCCCCATGGGTACACCTTATCCTCCCTGGACCAGAGGGTCTAGCGCGAGTACGTGATTGGTAGAGACCGGAGGATAAACAAGGGAACACCACGGTGAGACATCAATCGCATGCTGTTCACTGTGTCAGAATGGACTGCCGAGGGTTAGTCGACCCCAGGAACAAACCGTTTGGCCGCGTGCTCCCGTTGGAAGTCCAAATTAAGATCATGTTCTGGGTCGAGTGTTTCTACACGATGGACAAACGGAAGAAGGTGGTGCGCGAATTCAAGGGTCTACC